TAAAAAGCCGAAAAATTGAGCAATCGAAAAATCCAAAAAGTGAAGTCGAAAAATCGAAACTTTAAAAACACTAAAAAATGAAAAATCGAAAATTTAAAGAATTGAATAACAGGAATATCGAATCGAAATCCTCGAAAGTGAAGAAATGGGAAAATCAAAACATAGATTAAAAAAATTGACAGTTTATAAATGTGAAAAATCGAAAATTTGAAAAAACGACAATTGAAAAGCAGAAAATCTAAAACCGGCAAGTCGAAAAATCGAAAGATAAGAAATATTGAAAAATTAAAATATCAAAGATTGAAAAATCTAAAAATCCAAAAATTGAAAAATCAAAAAAGTAAAAAGGTAAACACATCGAAAAATCCAGAAGTAGAAGAGCCGAAGAAAAATCCTAAAACTGAAATATCTGAAAACTGAAAAATCGAAAAATCAAAAAAGTGAAGCCGAAACATAGAAACCTTAAAAAATCGAAAAATTGAAAAATTAAAACCTGAAAAACAAAAAAATTAAAGAATTGAAGAGCAGGAAACACGAAACACTCGAAGGTCAAGAAATGGGAAAATCAAAACATCGATTAATTGAAAAATCGAAAAATTGACAAAGTGACAATTGAAAAACAGAAAACCTAAAACCGGGAAGTCGAAAAATCAAAAGATTAAGAAATCGAAACATTTGAAAAATTCGAAAACTTGAAAAATTCAAATATTAAAGAACTGAAATGAAAAATCGAGAAATCGAAAAATCTAAAATTTTAAAAATTAAAAAATCCAAAATTTAAAAATCGAAAAAGTAAAATAATGAACACATCGAAAAATCCAGGAGTCAAAAATCGAAAAGTCGAACAATCGAAATATTGAGAAATTCCAAAACTGAGATATCCAAAAACTGAAAAATGAAAAAAAAACTGAAAAATGGAAAACCTGAAAAATCCGAAAACTGAAATATCCAAAAACTGAGAACCTAAAAAGTCGAAAAATTGAGCAATCGAAAAATCCAAAAAGTGAAGTCGAAAAATCGAAACTTTAAAAACACTAAAAAATGAAAAATCGAAAATTTAAAGAATTGAAGAACAGGAATATCGAATCGAAATCCTCGAAAGTGAAGAAATGGGAAAATCAAAACATCGATTAATTGAAACATCGAAAAATTGACAGTTTATAAATGTGAAAATTTGAAAAATTGAAAAATCGAAAATCTGAAAAAACGACAATTGAAAAACAGAAAATCTAAAACCAGGAAGTCGAAAAATCGAAAGATAAGAAATATTGAAAAATTAAAATATCAAAGATTGAAAAATCTAAAATTTAAAAATCCAAAAATTGAAAAATCAGAGAAGTAAAAAGGTAAACACATCGAAAAATCCAGAGGTAGAAGAGCCGAAGAATTGAAAAATCCTAAAACTGAAATATCTGAAAACTGAAAAATCGAAAAATCAAAAAAGTGAAGCCGAAAAATAGAAACCTTAAAAAATCGAAAAATTGAAAAATTAAAACCTGAAAAATAAAAAAATTAAAGAATTGAAGAGCAGGAAACTCGAAACACTCGAAGGTCAAGAAATGGGAAAATCAAAACATCGATTAATTGAAAAAATCGAAAAATTGACAAAGTGACAATTGAAAAACAGAAAATCTAAAACCGGGAAGTCGAAAAATCAAAAGATTAAGAAATCGAAGCATTTGAAAAATTCGAAAACTTGAAAAACTCAAATATTAAAGAACTGAACTGAAAAATCGAGAAATCGAAAAATCTAAAATTTTAAAAATTAAAAAATCCAAAATTTAAAAATCGAAAAAGTAAAATAATGAACACATCGAAAAATCCAGGAGTCAAAAATCGAAAAGTCGAACAATCGAAATATTGAGAAATTCCAAAACTGAGATATCCAAAAACTGAAAAATGAAAGAAAAACTGAAAAATGGAAAACCTGAAAAATCCGAAAACTGAGAACCTAAAAAGTCGAAAAATTGAGCAATCGAAAAATCCAAAAAGTGAAGTAGAAAAATCGAAACTTTAAAAACACTAAAAAATGAAAATTCGAAAATTTAAACAATTGAAGAACAGGAATATCGAATCGAAACCCTCGAAAGTGACGAAATAGGAAAATCAAAACATCGATTAATTGAAACATCGAAAAATTGACAGTTTATAAATGTGAAAATTTGAAAAATTGAAAAATCGAAAATCTGAAAAAACGACAATTGAAAAACAGAAAATCTAAAACCGGGAAGTCGAAAAATCGAAAGATAAGAAATATTGAAAAATTAAAATATCAAAGATTGAAAAATCTAAAATTTAAAAATCCAAAAATTGAAAAATCAAAGAAGTAAAAAGGTAAACACATCGAAAAATCCAGAAGTAGAAGAGCCGAAGAATTGAAAAATCCTAAAACTGAAATATCTGAAAACTGAAAAATCGAAAAATCAAAAAAGTGAAGCCGAAAAATAGAAACCTTAAAAAATCGAAAAATTGAAAAATTAAAACCTGAAAAATAAAAAAATTAAAGATGAAGAGCAGGAAACTCGAAACACTCGAAGGTCAAGAAATGGGAAAATCAAAACATCGATTAATTGAAAAATCGAAAAATTGACAGTTTATAAATGTGAAAATTTGAAAAATTGAAAAATCGAAAATCTGAAAAAACGACAATTGAAAAACAGAAAATCTAAAACCGGGAAGTCGAAAAATCGAAAGATAAGAAATATTGAAAAATTAAAATATCAAAGACTGAAAAATCTAAAATTTAAAAACCCAAAAATTGAAAAATCAAAGAAGTAAAAAGGTAAACACATCGAAAAATCCAGAAGTAGAAGAGCCGAAGAATTGAAAAATCCTAAAACTGAAATATCTAAAAACTGAAAAATCGAAAAATCAAAAAAGTGAAGCCGAAAAATAGAAACCTTAAAAAATCGAAAAATTGAAAAATTAAAACCTGAAAAATAAAAAAATTAAAGAATTGAAGAGCAGGAAACTCGAAACACTCGAAGGTCAAGAAATGGGAAAATCAAAACTTCGATTAATTGAAAAATCGAAAAATTGACAAAGTGACAATTGAAAAACAGAAAATCTAAAACCGGGAAGTCGAAAAATAAAAAGATTAAGAAATCGAAGCATTTGAAAAATTCGAAAACTTGAAAAATTCAAATATTAAAGAACTGAACTGAAAAATCGAGAAATCGAAAAATCTAAAATTTTAAAAATTAAAAAATCCAAAATTTAAAAATCGAAAAAGTAAAATAATGAACACATCGAAAAATCCAGGAGTCAAAAATCGAAAAGTCGAACAATCGAAATATTGAGAAATTCCAAAAACTGAGATATCCGAAAACTGAAAAATGAAAGAAAAACTGAAAAATGGAAAACCTGAAAAATCCGAAAACTGAAATATCCAAAAACTGAGAACCTAAAAAGTCGAAAAATTGAGCAATCGAAAAATCCAAAAAGTGAAGTCGAAAAATCGAAACCTTAAAAAAACTAAAAAATGAAAAATCGAAAAATTAAAGAATTGAAGAACAGGAATATCGAATCGAAACCCTCGAAAGTGAAGAAATGGGAAAATCAAAACATCGACTAATTGAAAAATCGAAAAATTGACAGTTTATAAATGTGAAAAATCGAAAATTTGAAAAAACGACAATTGAAAAGCAGAAAATCTAAAACCGGCAAGTCGAAAAATCGAAAGATAAGAAATATTGAAAAATTAAAATATCAAAGATTGAAAAATCTAAAAATCCAAAAATTGAAAAATCAAAAAAGTAAAAAGGTAAACACATCGAAAAATCCAGAAGTAGAAAAGCCGAAGATTTGAAAAATCCTAAAACTGAAATATCTAAAAACTAAAAAATCGAAAAATCAAAAAAGTGAAGTCGAAATATCGAAACCTTGAAAAATTCGAAAAATTGAAAAATCAAAAACCTGCAAAATCGTAAGATTGAAAAATTGAATAATAAGTAAACTGAAAAATCCGAAAACTGTAATGTCCAAAAACTGAGAAATTAAAAAATTGAAAAATTGAGAAATCGAAAAATCAAAAAAGTGAAGTTGAAAAACCGAAACCTGAAAAAATAGAAAAATTGAAAAACCAAAAATCCTGAAAAATCAATTAATTGAAAAATCGAAATATTTAAAAATCGTAAAATTGAAGAGAAACACTGAAAACCGAGAAATTGGGAAATTGTAGAATTCGAAACTTGAAACAGCAAGAAATTATGGTCGAAACCAGTTAGGATATGTATCAGATCACGGATCATGGCTTATAAATCAAATCGTTTCCGAACGCTTAGAGTCGACATTGGCCTGAGTCCCCTCTGGTCTGTAGATCAAACAAGTTCTCAGACGACGAACTGTAATTCGTGCGACCTGAATTAAAGTGAAGCAAACAGTAGTAAGCAGCTTGTAATATTCTGATAAATCTAATGTCAATTTGTCGAAAGTAAAACGCGTCGTTAAAAATATTATGAGATTTTTTTTTCTATTGTAGTTAATTTTGTTCCTAGTTAGAAACAAATACTGTTGCCAACATAAGTCGAGGAGTCCTCAACCGTCATTTAATTTGAACTGTGACGCTTCTCTATGTTCTCTGCCAATACTTTCAACTATGACACTGTTGACATTTGTCACCTTGTACCAACCCACAAAAAGTTTTAATTTATTTCGTTTTTTTCTAGATTTGCGACTCCACAAAGTCCTTTTTTATACGAAAAGGGAAATAAATAAGAAAGCGTTTAAAACAAAATATTTTATTTCTAAACTGATCTATGCACTTATATACGACTAAAGTGATAAAAACTAGTAGGACTAGCTAATAAATTAATGTCAAACATTAAAAATCGTATTGAAATAGACATGAAAGTTTTATTTTTTCCTGAAATTGTGTTATCTTAACCTTAAAAATGAACCGTCCAACATAACTAAATAAAAAGGATATAATTACACAAAGTGTAATTATACCTAAATACAACAAAATGTAGGTCAGTGCGAAAAAAACCATTTTGCCACTATTGCTCTTACAATACTTTATTAAATAGCATTAGTATGTATAATGATTACTTGATTACGAAACTTAAATAATACAATACAACACGAAGACATCAGGCTCCCATCCTCCCTTATTTACAACAGAGTGCAGGGTGCCTTCTCCCTGAACGGGTTAACCCGCTGGCTCGAGAACCCCACCAAGAGACAGTCGTCTTGCTCATGTTCGGTGATGTACTTGATGATATCAGCAACAGCCAAAGACACCGGCAGTCGCTTGATGGCGGCTTCGCGTCTGAGCTGCTCGGTGGTGGCGCGTTGCTGTTGCAGATTTGAGACAACCATGTCCATTAAAGCTGTGTCTGACAGGCCTATGATTGCAGACTTTGTTGAACAGCGGATACGACGGAAAACTGGGCGCGGCTTTCGTCACCGCACAAATGCACTTGGCGGAATGGAGAGGTCAAAGCCACAACGGCGACGTCGCGGAACTGCAAAACAACCCGATTAATGGACAGGAAATTGATTGTTAGTGGACTCGTACGTTTCCTTTGGACGCTTCGGAGCTGTCAAATTTGGGAATTAGGGGTCGAGGGAAATGACACTGATGACAGTTGGTGGCTTGGTGGAGTGGCGACATCTGGAGTGAGTGGTGTGTAATAATGTAGAGATTTAGCGGAATTTTGGATATAGGCAACCAGGATTGCGGTTATTTTTTCAAGCGGTTTTGAGGATTCTGTGATTAGCAGATAAATAATAATAATATTATTCATGCAGAAGAGGGAATTCAACAGTGGCGTAGCTAATTTTCATTGCGCCCCCCGCAGTTTATAGTAAGCGCCCCCATACACCAAATTTAAAAAGTAATATAAAATTAATACGAAATTACTGGTTTACCAGTAGTGGCCCCGAATAACACAGATTTACAAATAATAATAATTTATACACATAATAATTTTTAAAAATTGTTAATTGATTATACTGGCTTCATTCGACGTTGTCGAGAGTTCATAAATTCGCGTATGACACTGTCGAGATCTATTTTTGGGATCGATCACACTCAATGCTCAACACAGCTAAGTTGGTTAATCGTTTTTGACTCATCGTGCTTCGCAAATATGATTTAATTAATTTTAATTTAGAAAAAGATCTTTCTGCCGTTAAAAAATTATTGTCCATAAAGAGAAACTTAGCAATATCTGTAATTTTAGTTATTTTTTGCTGAATAATTTCACCAACAACAATGTTTTTAAAACTAACGATTTGCCCACAGATTGCACTAGAAATATCTTCTTCGTGTTTATTTGCCAACTTTGATGCTGCCTCCACAAATTCTTCGTCTGTACTATTCAACATTTCCTGTGGTTCCAGAAAAGAAAAATAGTTTCTGACGTTTTTCATGCTTTCAAGCCTATCTTTAATTTGAATGTTTAAAATATCAAGAGCAGGATAGAAAACGGTTGTTTTACATTTTTCAGTGGAATCTTTGAAAACGGTATCTTCACATAATTCGTCATGAAACAGTTTTACTTTCTTTATACGTTTATTTGAAAAAGAATTGTTAATTTTCCAGGTATCAGCACATTTCCTTGATTCCTCCATTATTTTTTCAAAATTGTCACGTATACTTTGAAATTTGTCTTTTAGATGTTCCATCCATTTACAAGCCTCATCTAAAGTAATATTTGAACTCTGTAAAGTTTTTGAGACCAAATTAACATTTTCTAAAATTTTGCATTGAAATACTAATAGAGCAACAAATTCAAATGAATCCATTTTTTTACGAAGAGCTACAGCTTCATCTATTTCACTTTTCTTTTTTGATGTTAAAATAATTTCAGCTCATAACTGTTGAGAGATTATATCTAATGGCAATTAGAGAATCAAATCTCGATGACCATCTGGTGGGGCATAACTTTTTTAAAGTTTTTTTTATAACACACTTATTATTTTTTTTCATCTCAATGTTGTTGTTGTTGTTGCCATCTCGGTAAACTCTCACTGAAATAGACGTATATAGCATTTATTAAATCATAAAATGCGGAAATTCCTGGTACATTCTTAACAGAATCATTAAGGACTAAATTGAGGTTATGTGTAGCGCAATGAACATGTTCGGCGTAATGATGTTTCATGTTCTTCATTTTTTTTATACCATTTTCCCGATTTTTCAATTTTCATTTTCTGGATTTGATATCACAATTTTTCGTTTATTCAATTTTTCACATTTTCAATTCCTCGATTTTCCAATGTTCAATATTTAGATTTTACAATAATTTTCGTTTTTTCGACCGCAATTTTTCGATCTTTAAGTTTCTCAATTTTTAATCTTTCGATTTTTGAATTTTCCGTTTCTTCAATTTCTCAAGTTTTTAGATTTCTCGAAGCCTTCATTTTATACTTTTGCGTTTTTTCATTTTGAGTTTTCAATTTTACTATTTTTCTATTTTATAACTTTTCCATTTTGTTTATTCGGAAAGTAGAAAATTCGAAAAATTGAAAAATCGGAAAATTAAAAAAATGGAAAAAATTGAAGAAACAAAAAATTGCAAAATCGATAAAACGGAAAATCGAGTGGAATTTGTTTTTACGATTTTTTAACTTCGATTTTTTTGAGTTTTTCGATTTTTCCGTTTATCTTTTTTTAAGTAAATATTTCAATTTTGAATTTTCCGATTTCGGCTTATTTCGATTTCTCGATCTTTTGAAGTCTCAATTTTTCGATTTTGATTTCTTGGTTTTTGGATTTTCAAAATTTTCGATTTTTCTAGTATATATTTTAAATTTTCGATTTTTAAAATTTTTCAATTTTCCCTTTTATAATCTTTATGTTTCGATTTCCCGATTTTACTTTGTTAATGTGTTTCAATTTTTCCATTTTTGGAATTTTCGATTTCTCATATCTCAATTTTCCAATTTTAAAAATTTTTCGATTTCTCGATTTTTAAGTTTTCGCTATCTCAATTTTAAACATCGCAATTTTGGGAATTTTTCAATTTCTATATTTTTCAGATTTTCGATATTTTCATTTTCCCGATTTTGTAATTTTCATTTTCTTGATTTTATATCACAATTTTTCATTTTTCCATTATCTTTATTTTTCCTATGTTTCTTTGGATTTTAAAATTTTTTGTTTATTCAATTTTTTACATTTTCAATCTTTGATTTTTTAAGTTCTTGATTTCCAATTTTTTTATATTTCGAAGCTTTCATTTCGTACTTTTTCAGTTTTACAATTTTTCTATTTTATAATTTTTCGATTTTGTTTATTCGAAAAGTTAAAAACTCGAAAAAATCAAAAATTGAAACAATGAAAAACTAAAAACCGAGAAACTTAAAAATCTAAAAAAAAAAATGAATCGAAGAATGGGAAAGAAGAAAAACCATTCGAATTGAAAAATTGGAAAATCCAAAAATTGTAAAATCGAAAAATTATAGAATCTTGAAAATTGTAAAGTCCAAAAACTGTGATATTCAAACACCGAAAAAATTGAAAAATTCCAAAAACGAAAAACTGAAAAAGTGAACAACTTTAAAAATTATAATTATTAGGAGTGTTACATAATTAAAATGAAAACCAGAAAAACTGCAAATGAAAAATTAAAAAAACGGAAAATTGAAAAAATAAAGAAAATTAAAAACCCACAGGAAAAATTGCAAATCGAAAAATTGACGAAATTAAAAACTGTAAACTCGTGAAATTTGCAAACTCTAAAATATGAAACATCTAAAAGTTGGAAAATCAAAAACTGAAAAATGGAGAAATCGAAAATTTTCAAAAATCGAAAGATTGAAAAATCGAAATTTTGGAAAATCGAAAAACCGAGGAATTCAAACTGAAAAAAGATCGAGAATTCAAGATGTCGAAAAATCAAAATATCTAAAATTAAAAAAATGGAAAAATTACAATAACGAAAAATTTAACATTAAAAAAAAACACAAAATCAAAAAGTCCAAAAATCGAGAAATTGAGAAATGGAAAAATGAAAATTTAGAAAAACCAAAAATTGAAAAGCATAAAAAAAATTAAAATCGGGTATTCGGAACGTAAAAAAAATAAAATCGAAAAATTGAAAAATTTTAAATTTAAAAATTCGAAAACTTTAAAAATCGAAAAACTAAAGAAATGAAAAACCAAAAAATCGACAAATTGAAAAATCTCAAAACTGAAAAATCGAAAAATTGAAAAACCCAAAAATCGATTTCCGGTAAGTCGAAAAATCAAAATTTAAAAAGTTGAAAAATAAAAATATCAAAAAACTGAAAAATATAGACATTCTCAAAATTGAAATGTTGAAAAATCGAAAAATTGGAAATACACCTTAAAAAGGTTAAAATCGGGAGATCGAAGCATAACAAAACATAAAATCGAAAAATGGAGAATTTTAAAAATCTAAAAACTTGAAGAAAAAAAAAATTGAAAAATGGAAAAGCCGAGAAATCGAAATTAAAAAATTGAGACATCAAAAGATCCGAGAAATGGAGAAATCGAAATAGCCCGAAATCGAAAAACCGGAAAATTTAAAACTGAAATACATATTTAAACTTAAAAAAAACGATAAATGAAAATATTCATAATTCGAAAAATCAGAAATTTTAAAAATCGAAAGATCGAGAAATCGATATATCAAAAAATTGGTCTAAAGAGTTTAGACAGTACTTCCCTCGCTGTCGGAAACGTGACGACTGCATGCCTATTATGTTTTTTTTTCGCAGTGGATTTCAAAGAATTCGGTTTTGTAGTTCCTGATTAAATCAATAAAATATATTTACGCATTCATTAATTTTTTTGAGTCACTCTGTATATGCAAATCCAAAAAATATAAATGGAGTGATAAATGACAAGTACAGACTCATCATATTTTGTGCATTTTAGATATGATTTATTCGGCAAATTTTCGAGCTGACGTCATCAAGTTTTTGGAGGGGATAAGCAAATATATTTTGACCAAACATTTATTATGCTCTTTATAACCTTAAAACATCTGCAAGATGTCAGAGCATTCCGTTTTGTAGTTCCTGATTAAATCAATAAAATATATTTACGCATTCATTAATTTTTTTGAGTCACTCTGTATATGCAAATCCAAAAAATATGAATGGAGTGATAAATGACAAGTACAGGCTCATCATATTTTGTACATTTTAGATATGATTTATTCGGCAAACTTTCGAGCTGACGTCATCAAGTTTTTGGAGGGGATAAGCAAATATAGTTTGACTAAACATTTAATATGCTCTTTATGACCTTAAAACATCTGCAAGATTTCAGAGCATTCGGTTTTGTAGTTCCTGATTAAATCAATAAAATATATTTACGCATTCATTAATTTTTTTTGAGTCACCCTGTATATGCAAATCCAAAAAATATGAATGGAGTGATAGATCACAAGTACAGGCTCATCATATTTTGTACATTTTAGATATGATTTATTCCACAAACTTTTGAGCTGACGTCATCAAGTTTTTGGAGGGGATAAGCAAATATTTTTTGACTAAAGATTTATGATGCTCTTTATAGCCTTAAAACATCTGCAACATTTCAAAGCATTCTGGTTAGCAGATTAAAAATTAAATTTCAAAATGTTGTTTTATAATTTTGATTTTTTTTCCAAAAATCTGGACGTTTCGGCTGAAAAGTCGATTCAGAGTTGTAAACTACATGTGTAGGACTATGTTATTTTATACAATTGAAAACCCATTTACTATGTACAATTTTGAAGTGACGTCATCGCATTAGTGGTGGGGATGATTAGACAAATTTTGGTTAGCGTTTTACCATCTACATGATATCTTAATATAAGTACAAAATTTCACAACAATCGGTCGAGTACTTTCGGAGATTATCTGTCTAATAAAAATCCGGGACGGCAGACGGACAGACGGACAGACGGACAGACAGACGGACAGACGGACAGACGGACAGACAGACGGAAATGGGAAACCTATTTCTTCGTCTTCTAGGGGTCATGAAAGATCGAGAAAACGTAAAAGTAGAGAGTCGGCCGACGGACTCGATTACAATATTTCCTTTGCTTACGCTCGGGAAGTAAAAAGGGAAAATATATATTTTGGATTTTTTTTCTTAATATACGTAGCCATCTTTTCACAACAAGAAACTTAGATCAGGGTTAAAATGATACATTTTTCCAAGAAAACATGGATTTTGGATTATGGGGCGGAGCCTAATTGCAAAATTAATATTTCCTAATACAAATTTTCCATTTTAAGCATGTTTTAAATCGTGAAAAGAACTCTACACATATTCAAACAAAAAGGCAAAATGTAAGCCCACCCACCCGCCCCATCCCAATTGTGATGATTTTTTTTATTCGCCGTGAACAAAGGGGGCGGAGCTTAACTGCAAAATACTTATTTCTCCACACGAAATTAAAAACATGGTTTTGAGTCCCATGTTATTCTAAGTATATTATATGTTGTTCTATTCCATTTCAATTGAAACACCACTTGTTAATCGTAAATTTGGCAACGAAAGCTGTTACCAATTGCTAAATTTTAAGCAAAATCGACAGGTGGTGTTTCAATAGAAATGTGCTTATTTAGTTAAAACAATGAAATCTTTATAACAACAAGAAAAAATATCAAACAAAAACAACTCATTTAATAAAAACGGTTTTTAACATCTCGAATTGTACTATTGGCGGTCAAACAATATTGATGACAGTTTGCTTGAGTGGCGACATCTAGACCGAATAGTGTGTAACAAAGGGGCGGAGATCGTGCAGGCAACCAACAATACACTATTTGTTTTTTTAGGAGGTTATTAGGTATGTAGGTTACTACGTTTCAAAGTGTGTCAAATTGATTGCTCATGGGAGTAGATGAAATTTCATTTAGGAGCTTAATTAATGGACGCTGCCTACGGCGCCGTCAAGGTCTCAAGTAATCAATATTCTGACCTATTAACTACTTCTCGTCGTTACAAATAATACATTCCCGAGGGAAATTTACCCAAATTTGTGCTTCTATTGGCAATACTTTTTTCATTTTTTACGCTGTATAAGCAAAAATGACTAAATTTTTTCGGAAATCACTTTTGGAAGAGTTTTTCCAGGCATTTCGTCGTAGTTGGGGAAATTCAAACTGCAATAATTACTTGACGTTTGTGGTACCAGTTGTGCCAACAGAACGCAACAGGTAGTGTTTATTAATTTACAAATAAGTAATACCCGACACTGAGTCTACATATTCTTTCTCGGTTGGTGATTCAATGACATTTTCTTCAAATGAAAGTGATCGGATACCTCGATAACCCAATAACGAAGCACCTAAAAATGTAATGGTTATGCAACCAACAGTACATCAAAGTTTATTAATTTTTCTGGAAGAATTTTTCAGATAAATGTAATTGAATTCGAAGTTCTGTGGAGGGGTAATGAGAGTCATCCTTAACAACTAAGTTTATTGTTAAAATGTATACAAGTATAGGATTATACGAAATCAGCCGATAATAAAACCTATCGATAGGTATAGTAAAGAACATGTATGACGTTCGTCTTGTTAGTGAATTTGAAACGGGGGATCTAGTTTGAAAAGTCACGTCTATCTAAGAATTTGATTTATCACAGCTAAGGTAACTGCATAATTCACTAACAAGAGCTGTAAACACGGATGTATGTATGTATAACGTGAATACGGGGCGATTACATATGTAGGGTTTGTGAGTCGTGCCCTTACGTGATGAAAAGACCTATTGTTGCGTTGTTAGAATTTTGTGTCGACCAACGTTGGTGTTTATGTAAACGTGGCTGTGCAGTGATTGAGCAATTGGGTTATGCCAGGACAGTAATTTATTGGCAATCAGTCTTATTCAACTCGGGGTAGAGGCGACCCTGAAAACACAGTCCAGACTCAATCGAGACCAAAATCCGCCCCAACTCACATATCAGAAGGGGATCTCCAGCTCGTCGGGCACGCCGTATCAGTTGGCCTCCCCGGCCTCCGCCTCCTTCTCCTGGTAGAGTCTGAGCAGGTCCATCGCGTCCTGCGCCTGCCGCTTCTCGCTCAAGAACCTCCCCGACGCCTCCTTCAGCTGCTCGAGAAAAATCCGGTCAGGAAACGTGATGTCGACGAGCGAGTCCGGGTCCATGTCAGCCAGGAGCTCCAGCTCGGCGCCCCCCAACAGCGACACGTGGCACAGATTGTGGCGCAGCTTGCCCACCAGCCCCACCAGCTCGCCGCCCCGGCCGTCGTCGGTCTGGTCGGCGGCGAGGCGGCACGGCGGCGCCGGGGGCATCCACTTCTGGCCCTCCTTCAATACCATAAGACTTGTGTGCGGCTCGAGCGTGGCGAAGTACTCCTCGTCGTCGATCTCGGTGCCGTCGGTCTCGAGGACCACGGTCACCTCGCCGGCGACGTTCAGCTTGTCGGCGACTTTGGAGGTTAGGTCCTCGAGGCTGGCGGCCACCACGCCTTTGCGGTTCTCCCGGGTGGAGTCCGTGATCTTGAACGGTTTGCCCTGCTGCTGGTCTGCATCTTCCATGGTTGGGCCACTGTTTACATTTATTACGGGTCGCGTGTGTGCCGCACCGGCTCTTTGTTTGAAATGGGGGTTGCCGCCCTAAATGCCACTCTATATGCACGAGCGTGCGGCGGGTTGCGGTGCGCATGACGTGCAAAGGGTCAACCTCGGTCATGACGGCGGATCAATAGGGGGCGACAGGACCGAACTGGGGACGAAGAACCGAAGACGGCTATCTCTTGGACTCTTGGACGTTGGTCTACGTTGGATAAGCACCCTATAATACTTTGAATGAATACAGTACACCATCAAAAACTACTGTATTCTGCTATTATGTTAAACCCATCAACAAAAAAAAATTGGTCTAAAGAGTTTAGACAGTACTTCCCTCGCTGTCGGAAACTTGACGACTGCATGCCTATTGTGTTTTTTTTCTCATTACATTTTTGTAGTGGGAATTTAAAAAAAAAATGCGATGACGTCATCAACATTTTTGCAAGGACACGTATATCAGTTGGGATAGATGTAGTGTAATACTAAGAATAAAATTATTATATTCTCAAATTTTCGGGAAAATGAATTGGGTCGTTTTGAATATTGATTTGTAATAATCAATAAAATAACGAAACAATTTACTCACGTATACGTATCAGAGGCAACTGAAAATCGTGTATGTATAAACATTCTTAATTTAAGATGACAGGCGTAACAGCATACGTGAGAGTCAAACAGAGAAACTGTAAATAAAACGACCATCGGTTTTATTGCTTCGACTTCCGCTTATTATATAAAACATGGGGTTTTATTTTAATTTTTGACGGTGAAATTCACAATTGGTTGATTATAAACATGTCTATTTCACATTCGCGGAACCAAGTGAGCGCATAAAACAAATGCAGGTCTGTAATGTTAAAGTCGATGTAAATAAGCGTGCTACCCTTATGTTTTAACCGAGTTTTTCCTTTAACAAATTTTGTGTCTACCAAATTGGGTTGGTTGGGGTGTAATACTAATAATAAGTGTTGCCTTTAATTTAATCAATAAAATAAATTGACTTCATTAATTTTTTTGAACCACCTCTTAAGAAAATCTAAAAAATATGAATGGAATGATAAATCACAAGTACAAACTCATCATATTTTTTGCATTTTAGATAGGATTTATTCAGCAAAATTTAAGGGTGACGTCATCCATTTTTTTAGGAGGGATGAACAAATACATTTTGAACAAAAGTTTACCATGCTTATAATAACTTTAAAATATTCCCAAGATTTCAAAGCATTCGGTTTTGTAATTCCTAATTAAATCGATAAAATAAATTCACGCCTTCATTAATTTTTTTGAGTCACCCTGCATATGCAAATCCAAAAATATGAATGGAATGATAAATCACAAGTACAGACTCATCATATTTTGTACATTTTAGATACGATTTATTCGGCAAACTTTTGAGCTGACGTCATCAGTTTTTTGTAGAAGATAACCAAATATATTTTGACTAAAAATTTATTATGCTCTTTATAACCTTAAAACATCTGCAAGATTTCAAAGCATTCGGTTTTGTAGTTCCTGATTAAATCTATAAAATATATTTACGCATTCATTAATTTTTTTGAGTCACTCTATATATGCAAATCCAAAAAATATGAATGGAGTGATAAATGACAAGTACAGGCTCATTATATTTTGTACATTTTAGATATGATTTATTCCACAAACTTTTGAGCTGACGTCATCAAGTTTTTGGAGGGGATAAGCAAATATATTTTGACTAAACATTTATTATGCTCTTTATGACCTTAAAACATCTGCAAGATTTCAGAGCATTCGGTTTTGTAGTTCCTGATTAAATCAATAAAATATATTTACGCATTCATTAATTTTTTTGAGTCACCCTGTATATGCAAATCCAAAAAATATGAATGGAGTGATAGATCACAAGTACAGGCTCATCATATTTTGTACATTTTAGATATGATTTATTCCACAAACTTTTGAGCTGACGTCATCAAGTTTTTGGAGGGGATAAGCAAATATTTTTTGACTAAAGATTTATGATGCTCTTTATAGCCTTAAAACATCTGCAACATTTCAAAGCATTCTGGTTAGCAGATTAAAAATTAAATTTCAAAATGTTGTTTAATATTTTTGATTTTTTTTCCAAAAATCTGGACGTTTCAGGTGAAAAGTCGATTCGGAGTTGTAAACTACATGTGTAGGACTATGTGATTTTATACAATTGAAAACCCATTTACTATGTACAATTTTGAAGTGACGTCATCGCATTAGTGGTGGGGATGATTAGACAAATTTTGGTTAGCGTTTTACCATCTACATGATATTCTTAATATAAGTACAAAATTTCACAAAAATCGGTCGAGTACTTTCGGAGATTATCTGTCTAATAAAAATCCGGGACAACAGACGGACAGACGGACGGACAGACGGACGGACAGACAGACGGAAATGGGAGACCTATTTCTTCGTCTTCTAGGGGTCATGAAAGATCGAGAAAACGTAAAAGTAGAGAGTCGGCCGACGGACTCGATTACAATACTTCCTTTGCTTACGCTCGGGAAGTAAAAACATGGTAAATTTTGACTTTTCTTTTTTATAAATTGGACCATTTAATTACTTCATTAAAAAACGAAAAAACGGAAGCTTTAATAAGAAAAAGTTACAAGTTATAACATATCGACTATTTGTCTTTATGTGGCTAATTCTAGAAGACATTTTTCTTGGTCGTTAAATCCCTTCATTTTTGACTGACTTTTTTCAAAATTTAACATAAGACTTTACGACTTACACAAAATTTGGCGATTTTTTGTCTCACACAAAGTGCATAAGATAGAAAGAGAAAAAGTTTGACTTGGAGTAAATACACGACTTTCGTTTAGTTTAACTGTAAAAACAAAAAAAAAAAATTGAAGTCTGGACAAACAAGAAATTCTTCTAGAAAATGTAAATATTTCAAGTAACAACATAACAAAAAAATGTAGTCATATAAGCCTAAGAGTGACAAAAATTTTAATTTACAAATTCCTCTAATTAGTCAGTGGCGGTAGAATAAACCAAATAAGGGTAAAAACAAAAAATTAAAACTGCTATTAAGCAGTCCATAAAATTAATAATCTAGCATACTCAAGCTCCTGTTTTCAATAGAACGTCCTCTAGTTTCTGGCATTTTGCTTTTAATTATCCTTTTTTGTCATTTTAAAAACATTCGAACTCAAAATAATGAATTTTTTTTCAAAATTTTGAAATTTAAATTGAATTCATTTCTTAAATTAAAGCAAATGGCTGAACAATATTAAGAGTAATGACTGGAATGAAGAGGGGGTGGGTGGGCGGGGTTACTGCTTGCTTATAAAACACTCTGAAAGAAAAAGTTAAACTTCGCCCCGCCCACTCACCCGATCTCTCATTCGTTTCTTCTGAAATCAGAGATAATAAATCTTACAGCAAATAGTATAAAAGATGAGATATTTGAAAATTTTAATTTTGAAACAAAAAATTTTAAAAATATTGATCATATGTTTTTCGAATCAGCTGTTCAATATAACCTATATCGGAGAATTTGTTGTTGGTTTTTAGCAAAGTTTGTGAAAAGCTTAAATTTAAAAATTTTGAAATTTAAATTAAATGCATTTTTAAAATAAAGTAAATCACTGAACAATATTAAGAGTAATCGCTAGAATGTAGAGGGGGTGGGTGGGCGGGGCACTTGCTTGCTTATAAAAGACTGTAAGAAAAGGTTAAACTTAGCCCCGCCCACCCACCAGTTCTATTATTTTTTTCTTCTGAAATAAGAAATAAATCTTACATTTTCCAAGCACCTTCCAAAATTACTTAATAATAATAATAATAATAATAGTGCTTTATTACGCCGAAAGATGTAAAGGCATTACATAAAGTACATAACAAAAATATTACATAAAGTACATAACAAAATATTAACATAACAATTCATATTAACATAATAGTAACAATTTGCGACATTCTTTCTTGAAGGCGTTGAGGGAGATACCAAAAAACTCTAAAGTGTTGCATTCGTTAGCAATCATCAAAACGCTATTTAGAGGCGAATGTAATGCATAATTCGTTTTATGAACTGGTATAAAAAACAGCCTAGGCGTACGAACCTTACGGATTGACACATTAAGACCTACCAACGCTAGCAATATGGGGGCTTCAATTAAACCATTTAATAATTTAAAAAGAAAACATAGTTTGTGATACTTACGACGATTTTCTAGTGTATGTACTGACAGATAAGATGCAACAAGGTCTGTATCTGCTAACACAATACCATCACCACACAACTTATATTTGACATATTTTAAAAGTTTGACTTGGACAGCTTCAATTCGGCTTATGTGAGTGATATAAAACGGTGACCAGTTGACACAATTGAATTCCAATATAGATCGAACTAACGAATAGTATAATATCAGAATGGTTCTGATGTTACTGAAGTTCACCGTCCACCGCTTTAAACACCCCAAAAGTTTTCTACCTCTAGAAACAACATATTCACAGTGACTGACGAAAGATAATTTAGTGTCTAAATAGATACCCAAATCCTTGACATTGCTAACTATGTCTAGGGGCGCATTTTCTAGTAGGTACAATGGAACTGAGGGACGACTTTTGCGACTAAAGCACATTGCTTTGCATTTTTTAATGTTACTTAAAGCCTCTTTTCGTTAATTTCGGTTTGCTGGAGCCATTTTTGGCAACTTTTGTTCGAAAACTACAACCACATTTTCAGAATCAGCAAATGAAATTCGACTATTTTTGGGTTATTCTGAATTAAAAACTGAAAATTTCGACAATCGGTTTGGGACCATCAATAAACTATATTTCGAATTAGCTCGTCGATATCTAGATTTCAAAATTTTTTGTCGGTTTTTAGGCAACTTTGCCAAAGTTGAAATTTTTGACCTTTTCTAAGCACCTTCAAAATTATATAAAGCCATTTTTTCGTTATTCCGATTTAGATAAGTAATTTTCGGCAACGTTTGTTCGAAAACTCCACCAAAATGAAATATGTCAATTTTTGGAATATTTGAAAATCTTAATTTTGAAACCGGAAATTTTAAAAATTCTG